AGTGTAAATTAGTGCAACCATTGTGGAAGACAGTGTGGCGATTCCTCAAGGACCTAGAAATAGAAATTCCATTTGACCCAGCAATCCCATTACTGGGTATATATCCAAAGGATTACAAATCGTTCTACTATAAGGACACGTGTACACGAATGTTCATTGCAGCACTGTTTACAATAGCAAAGACCTGGAACCAACCCAAATGCCCATCGACGATAGACTGGATAGGGAAAATGTGGCACATATACACCATGGAATATTATGCAGCCATCAGAAACGATGAGTTTGGGTCCTTTGTAGGGACATGGATGAACCTGGAAACCATCATTCTCAGCAAACTGACAGAAGAGCAGAAGATCAAACACCGCATGTTCTCACTCATAGGCGGGTGTTGAACAATGAGAACACATGGACACAGGGAGGGGAGCACTACACACTGGGGTCAGTTGGGGGGAAATAGGGGAGGGAGGGTGGGGGATGGGAAGCTGGGGAGAGATAACAAGGGGAGAAATGCCAGATGTAGGTGATGGGGAGGAAGGCAGCAAATCACACTGCCACGTGTGTTCCTATGCAACAATTTTGCATGTTCTTCACATGTACCCCAAAATGTAAAATGCAATAAAATAAATAAATGGGAAAAAAAAAAGGATGTAAAGGACCTCTTCAAGGAGAACTACAAACCACTGCTCAAGGAAATAAGAGAGGACACAAACAAATGGGAAAACTTTCCATGCTCAAGGTTAGGAAGAATAAATATCGTGAAAATGGCCATACTGCCCAAAGTAATTTATAGATTCAACACTATCCCCTTCAGGCTATCTATGACCTTATTCACAGAACTGGAAAAAAACACCTTAAACTTCATATAGAACCAAAAGAGAGCCTGCATAGCCAAGACAATCCCAAGCAAAAAGAATAAAGCTGGAGGCATCATGCTACCTGACTTCAAACTATACTACAAGGCTATAGTAATCAAAACAGCATTGTACCGGTACCAAAACAGATATAGACCAATGGAACAGAACAGAGGCCTCGGAGGCAACACCACACATCTACAACCATGTGAACTTTGACAAACCTGACAAAAACAAGCAATGGGAAAAGGATTCCTGTTTAATAAATGGTGTTAGGAAAATTGGCTAGCCATGTGCAGAAAGCAGAAACTGGACCCCTTCCTGACACCTTACACTAAAATTAACTCCAGATGGATTAAAGACTTAAACATAAGACTTAACACCATAAAAACTCTAGAAGAAAACTTAGGCAAAACCATTCAGGACATAGGCATAGGCAAGGACTTCACGACTAAAACACCAAAAGCATTGGCAATCAAAGCCAAAATAGACAAATGGGATCTAATTAAACTCCAGAGCTTCTGTACGGCAAAAGAAACTATCATTAGAGTGAACTGGCAACCAACAGAATGGGAAAAAATTTTTGCAATCTACCCATCTGACAAAGGACTTATATCCAGAATCTACAAATAACTAAAACAGATTTACAAGAAAAAAACAAACAAATCTTGCTCTGTTGCCCAGGCTGGCGTACAGTGGTGCAATCTTGGCTCACTACAACCTTTGCCTCCCGGGTTCAAGTGATTCTCCTGCCTTGGCCTCCCATGTAGCTGGAATTGCAGATGCGCACCACCATGCCTGCTTAATTATTGTATTTTAGTAGAGACGGGGTTTCACCATGTTGGCCAGGCTGGTCTCAAACTCCTGACCTGAAGTCATCTGCCAACCTCGACCTCCCAAAGTGCTGGGATTACAGGTGTGAGCCACAACACCTGGCCCTAACACAAGACTTGTATCCAGAATGTATAAACTACTCCCAAAACTCAAAAATAAGAAAATATTCCTATAAAAATGTGCAAAAGATTTAAACAGACATTTCACCATATGTGTTTGATAAATAAACACACAAAAAGATGCTCAACATGAGTAAACAACAAGGAAATGCAAATTAAAATCACAATGCAATTCACCCATTAGAACAGCTAAAATAAAAAGGTACTGACAATACCAAGTATTGACAAGAACACAAGCAACTGGAACTTTCTTATGATGCTAGTGGGAATACAAAATGAAAACCTGTTTCTACTCAGGGAAAAAGATCGTCAATTTCTTTCTTTCTTTTTTTTTTCCTTTTTTGTTTCAGATAGGGTTTCACTCTGTCACCTGGGCTGGAGTGCAATGGTGCCACTGTGGCTTACTGAAGCCTTAACCTCCCAGGCTCAAGCAATCCTCCCACCTCAGCCTCCTGAATAGCTGGGGCCACAGGTGCCCACCACCAGGTCTGGCTAATTTTTTTTCTCTAACTCTCCACATTTTTTTTCTTAGAGATAGGAGTCTCACTATATTGCCAGGGCTGGTCTTGAACATCTGAGCTCAGCGATCCTCCCACCTTGGCTTCCCAAAGTGCTGGGATTATAGGTATGAGCCACTGTGCCCAGCCTAGATTGGCAGTTTCTTATAGAGTTAAATATATATCTACCAAAAGACTCAGGAATACCACTTCTAGGCAGTTACCCTCTATTCACACAAAAATCTGTAAACAAGTGTTTACAGAAGCATTATTTATAATCACAAAACAATGGAAACAGCCCAGATGTCCTTCAATGGGTGAATGGATAAACTGTGATATATCCATTCAATGGAATACTATTCAGCAATAAAAAGGTACAAACTATTGATAAAGGCAATAATAAGTATGAATCTCAAAAGCATTGTGCTAAGTGAGAGAAGAGAGCCTCTCAAAATATTACATCCTGTTGGATTCCATTTATATGACATTCTGGAAAAGGCAAAACTATAGAGACAGAGAACAGATCAGCAGTTGCCAAGGGCTAGGTGTTGGAAAGGGCCTGACTACAAAGGGGCAGCACAAGGGAATTCTTCAGGAGTGTTGGTGGTGTTCTCTATCCCATTTGCTGTGGTTGTTACAAGAATCTATGCATGTGTAAAAATTCATAGAACTATATAAACAAAAAAGTAAATTCTAATGTATGTAAATTTTTTTAATCTTAAAAATCAGCCTGTCCAATTTTGAAGCTGATATGGTAATATTCCTTCAGTAAATGTGTCATGGAAAGGAAGCTATTTAAAACAAAAGCAGACATACTGAATGTTTATTCTGCAGAACCATTTGTGTTTCCCTGGGTGAAGCACTCTTTCTGATTTCTTCAATACAGTCTAAAGAATTCAGAAAATACTACCTAATAAAAAAGAAATAGTTTGCACAGCAATTTTTTAAATTTTTATTTTATTCTAAGTTTTGGGATATATGTGCAGAATGTGCAGGTTTCTTATATAGGTAAATGTGTGCCATGGTGGTTTGCTGCACCTATGTACCCATTACCTAGGTATTAAGCCTGGCATGCATTAGCTATTTATTCTGATGCTCTCCCTCCCCTCGACACATAGCAATTTTTAAGAACATCAAGAAAGAAACTCACAGTAAGAAATGTGCGTAAATCCATAAGACCAGAAATAAATTTGCTTGTCAACATGTATCAAATACCTTGGCAGAAAAGTAGTTCTCATAGGCCAATTCTTTAGGCTCTGAAGCAGCAGCTGGTCTCTTTTGTTAAAAGAAGTTGTTCTTGGAATACATCTATTTGATAGGCCTCTTAGAATTTGCCCTGCATTTTTCTTATGCAAAGGACTTCATGTAAAAAGTTGGCCTGATAGAACATCAGAATGATTGATGATGTGACACAGTTCTTGCTGCTTATCAAAATATAGAGCATCATGTGTGTGTATGTACGTGTGTGTGTCTGTGTGTGTGTGTGTGTGTGTAGAATCAACTGTGTTTATATGTTTGGATAGATAATACATTAATATGGTTTGACATTCTGTAGGTGCCAAAACTGCTATTTATTATTTAGAAACTCCTGTGGGACTGCGCCAGTCATTTATAGCTGGTACCCATTTTGATTGATCAATGCCAAGGGCCATATGGGTTATTAAATATGTTCAGTATAAGTCCTGTAAGAATATCAACCCCCAAATCTCCCTTTTTCTACCAGCCTACCACTATATTTTCTGTAATCTTTAATACAGAGGCAGAAAAGCCTTTCAATATTGGGTTACATGAAGTTGGATGGAGGTGGGTATTTTAATTACTTTAATCGTGTATAGCAACGTGAAACAAGTACATTTCATTCCAAAGCTATCTCTGAGAATCCTCCAGCCTTTCTTCCAGGGCTCTCTTTCTTTCCATTTGTGTTCCCTTCTCCTTGCTCTCACCCTGAAAGCCTGCCCCTCTCCTGATGTTTGTCTGGGACCAAATAAACATACCACTGTGGGATGAGATAAACTTTCTCATCCCACAGTGCCCATCCCCTGGAATATTACTGCTGTGAGCTTGGGGCTACAAAAAGATACACAACAAACCTGGTAGCTCTTCTGAGAGCAGCAGTTTTTCTTTTTTGCTTTACTTTTCTCTCTGTCTCTTTCTTTCTTTCTCTTTCTTCCTTTCTCATTCTCTGTCACTTTCTCACTCTCTTTCATTCTTTTTTTTTCTTTTCTTTCTTTCTCTCTCTTTCTCCCTCTCTCTTTCTTTTTTCTCTCTCTTTCTTTCTTTCTTTCTTTCTTTCTTTCTTTCTTTCTTTCTTTCTTTCCTCTCTCTCTCTCTCTTTCTTTCTTCCTTTCTTTCTCTTTCTGTCTTTTTTCTTTCTCTTCTTTCTCTCTCTCTCTTCTTTTTTTTTCTTTTTTTAAACAGGGTTTTGCCCTGTCTCCCAGCTGGAGTGCAGAAGCCACAGCTCACTGCAGCTTCAGCCTCCTGGGCACAAGTGATCCTCCAGCCTCAACTTCCCGAGTAGCTGGGACTACAGGCACGCACCACTATACCTGCTAATTTTTGTATTTTTTTGTAGAAATTGTGGGGGTGAGGGGTCTTATTATGTTGCCCAGGCTTGTCTCAAACTCCTGGGCTCAAGCACCTGCCTACCCCAACCTCCCAAAGTGAGCCACTACACCTGGTAAAACAAAATGTCACTTTAGGTCCTGTGAAGAGCAGCGTGGAGGTGGGCTGAGGTTAGAAGGTGGAGAGCGTGGAAGAAGATTGTGGGTTGAGTATTGGACATCTGTTCTTGAACAGTCCCTGGGCCTGCCATAGGAAAGGAAGTTCTCCTGAGTAAGTAACTTGGACTTTCCTTTTCCCTTTAATAAATTTTTTTCTTGGGCTGTGGCCAAATCGTAGGATTTTGATTCGTCCCTTATTCAAACCGGTTTAGCTTTTCCCTGCTTTCACCTGGCCATCCCACCTAGGCACAGAAGACCTTGCTCTCATAACAGGTAGTTTTCTCCCTGAGGGGGAACTCTCCCAGCAGTTAAAGGAGTGATTCCTTTCCAGTACTACATCTTACACAGCTCCCATGAATTTGAAGGTAAAACAAAAACCTTGAAAGATACTTTGGGCTCACTGTGAGCGATGCTGAGTATTCACTCTCCTTTACCATCACAATTCCCTGGGGAATGTTTGAGAAATGGTCCTTTAGGGCTTTAACAATGTTAAACACTGATGGAAGGGGTTTAATGCATGTAAAATAAAATCAAAACTTCTCTTCAGGCACAGTAGTATCTAGCCCCTTGGTACCTCTCTGGCCTCTTCCAGTCAGTCTCTCCCTTGGTTCACTGTGATCCAGCTACAGTGAGCTTCTTGCAGTTCCTAGAATACTTGGAGCTCATTCCAGCCCCAGGGCCTTTGCACTTGCTGTTCCCTCTGCTGTTCCCTTGCTGCTTCTCTGCATGTTCTGCCCTTGACTGGCTCCTCCTCTTCCTTTCCTCCAATGCCATCTCCTCAATGAAGCTTTTCCTGATTTCCTGATGCACTTCCCACCCCTGTTCATCTTTATCCCAGCACCTCCATTGCTTCCTTCATAGCACTTAACATAATTTTACATGTCACATTTTAATATCTGTTTCCCCCACTGGACCAAATGCTCTAGGAGGATAGGGACCAGGACTGTTTTGTTCATCGGTACATCACTGGGAAGTGGCAAAGTGCTGGGCTTTTAGTAGGATCCCAATATGTAAATATGTAAATACTGAATGAATGATTGAATTGAGTATAATGCATGCCCCATCCAAGGTATTCCTGAAGATGTAAAGGCTTTCTTATCAAGGAATGAAGTTATGAGAGTAGAAAGATAGCATGCGGTTGCTATTTTAGATCAAGGAGATGTTCTAGTGCGATACTTCCAGTTACTGCCATGTGCTCTGCTCTGCTAACCCGGAAGGTTGACAGAGCTTTTTTTTTTTTTTCCGAGACAGTCTTGCTCATTGCCCAGGCTAGAGTGCAGTGGTGTGATCTCGGCTAACGGCAACCTCCACCTCCTGGTTCAAACGATTCTTCTGCCTCAGCCTCCTGAGTAGCTGGGGTAACAGGTGCGTGCCATCACATCCAGCTAATTTTTTTTTTTTTTGTATTTTTAGTAGAGATGGGGTTTCACCATGTCAGCCAGGATGGTCTTGATTTTCTGACATTGTCATCCACCCGCCTTGGCCTCCCAAAGTGCTGGGATCACAGGCTGAGCCACGGCGTACAGCCAGCTGACAGCTCTTTTTGCAGGAGGTTAAAAAAGATTCTGGGCTGGTTACCCATCTGACAAATGGTTGATATCCAGAATTTACAAAGAACTAAAACAGATTTACAAGAAAAAAACAAGCCCATTCAAAAGTGGACAAGGGATATGAACAGACACTTTGCAAAAGAAGACATGCATGAGGCCAACAAACATACGAAAAAATGCTCATCATCACCGGTCATTAGAGAAATGCAAATCAAAACCACATTGTGATACCATCTCACGCCAGTTAGAATGGCGATCATTAAAAAATCCGGAGACAACAGATGCTGGAGAGGATGTGGAGAAATAGGAACACTTTTGCACTGTTGGTGGGAGTGTAAATTAGTTCAACCATTGTGGAAGACAGTGTGGCAATTCCTCAAGGACTTAGAAATAGAAATTCCACTTGACTCAGCAATCCCATTACTGCATATATATCCAAAGGATTATAAATCGTTCTACCATAAGGACACATGCACACGAATGTTCATTGCAGCACTGTTTACAATAGCAAAGACCTACAACCATCGATGATAGACTGGACAGGGAAAATGTGGCACATATACACCATGGAATATTACGCAGCCACCAAAAACGACGAGTTTGTGTCCTTTGTAGGGACATGTATGAACCTGGAAACCATCATTCTCAGCAAACTGACACAAGAGCAGAAAATCAAACACCGCAAGTTCTCACTCATAGGCGGGTAATGAATAATGAGAACACATGGACATAGGGATGGGAGCGCTATACACTGGGGTCTGTTGGGGGGAAATAGGGGAGGGACAGCGGGGGGTGGG